CGACGGAAGGGGGACTGGGATTGAGGAGGATCTTTGACCGGAACCTTGCTGGGATGACCTGCTCATTTGGTCTATTGTTCGTAATCGAACCGAAATCAACGTTTAAGACAATCGGTCTTCCTATATCGGGGGAGCGGCTGAAGAAGAATGATTTCACTAAGTCCAGACAGACTCGGGTTCCTAAGCTTGCAATAAGAGGCCATTGCGTTCAAGCCGAAGCTGGTTGAGAGCGACGATCCGGACAGGCAAAAGGGACAGGGAAGAGAACGAAAGATTCAGTCGGGGAAAAAGGCCCTGCCTAAGACCGGATTGTTCACCAGACGGGCTCTTGCTCCTCGATCCGGGCCTCGTTCGATGAAGTATATGAAGCTTACGATTCTGGCCTTAAATATTATTTTGCTTATTCCCTCTTTCTAGGCATTTTCCTGCTTAATTCAAGTAGCTAGTATCATCTGCTTGAGGATTAGACAATACTTAACTGGTTCGGACTGTCAATGGATTTGGATCCAGATAATTGCAATTTTGTCTGTTTATTTGATGCGTGTGAATCCATTTCTATATTTCTACCCTCTCTCATAAAATATGCCTGCTTTTTGAATTAAAACACAACGTCATTATACTTATTTTGAAATTAAGGAGATCCGCACTGTTTTCTCTTGTATACTCGTATTTACATTAGTGTTGTTGACCGTGATTTTATGCGTTTCAGCGACACGAACAAAGAAGATTATCTTGTTGCATGCACAACTTGGTGAAAGAAAACAATGAATCAGACGTCCACGTTTGCTTTTAAGGAAAATTTGTGCTATGAGATTGTCAGGAGCTGGAGCAAGAACTGAAGTTGATACCCAGGCTGAAAACAGGTGAAGACAACAGGTGAAGACCCAGGCTGGAAACAGGTGAAGATGGGAACAGATACACAAAAACAAGGACTGATACGCAAGAGAAATGTCAGAGGGAGGGGCTAATCTGAAATGTCAGAGGGAGGGGCTAATCTGCAAAGACTTTACTGCAGGAACTTATCTTGTAATAAAGTTGAGTATTCAGTTACAACAGTTAATTCTGTTTCATTCTGTTATTTCTGTTTGTGCTGTGCACACGCACCAAGTCTTGAACTGAGATGGAGCTGAATTGTATAAAAGGAGAGGATGTAATAACCAATAGTTATGAATGAATATGAATCCTGCTCTTACCTTGTTCAATTCTCTCAATTCTCTTAGTTCTCTTTATTATCTTCCTTTCATTGAAACTGTTTCAAGTTGCCATGGCCACAAACAGCAATACTAGGTTCAATAGAGGAACAAAGTCCTCTCAATTGGTATCAGAGCAATTAGAAGCTGAGGCCAGAGCTGAAGATTTCTTGGGTGATCAAGAGAAAAATTATGCGGAAGAGATGACTCAAGATGAAAGATTTGCTTGAATGGAAGATGCAGTCCTTCAGCAGAAATCCTTCATTCAACAACAAAGTTCACTCAATCAACAGGTATCAACAAGATTGGATGAGCTTTTTTCTCAATTACAGTTCCTAGTTCAAGAATCCAAGAACTCCAAAGACCCTAATTAAAGAATCTTAGGGTCTGGACCAAGGAATGAGCAGAGAATCTTGAGCTCAGGATCCAGGGAGAATAGGGATACATCAAGATCAAGAGCTAGAGAATCAAGCAAGAAGGATTATGAGATACTCACATCTCTCAAAATCAAGGGAATACTGATTTCAATGAAGAATTCAGGCCAGTTCACAGTTTTGGTAATTTTTCAAACCAAAAGAACTCTTTCTTCAGTAATTAAAAACTTATTCAACCGAAATCCTTGCGTCTAGATTTTCTTTCTTTTTCTGGAATTGAGAATGTGATAGCATGGTTAGAACAAACGGATCAAATATTTGACTATTATGATATCAATAGTTCTAAATGAGTCAAGGTTCACTCATTTTATTTGAGGGATGAAGTTTTACATTGGTATAAATGGCTTACTAGGAATATTGAGAATTATAATCAATGAGATATTTTTAGAGAGGAGTTAATCACAAGATTTGGCCCTAGTGAACTCTCAAGGCCCTATGATACTTTTTCTACCATGAGGCAAACCTCTACCATTAGAGAATATTTGAGAAGATTTGAACAAACATTAGGGCTATTGGGTGAACAACCATCTAGAAGACATATTCTTGAAAGGCTTATAGGTGGGCTCAAAGATGAATTGAGGTATGAAGTTGTAGCTGCTAGGCCAACTTCATTGAGAGGAGCAATGTCATTAGCTAAATTGTTTGAGGATAAGCAAAAAAAAAAAAGAAGAAAAAAAGAAAGAAAGGAAACCCAAGGGAAATTAGAATAACTACAATTCAGGAGGTCCTCCAATAAGTCCAACTTCTAATCCTACATCAAAAGATAACTACCGACCATCTCCTCAATTCAAAAAGATGACCCCTGATGAGATACAAAGAAGGAGAAGTCAGAATTTATGTTTTACTTGTGATGAGAAGTGGCACAGAGGGCACCAGTGCAAAGGGAAGCATTTGTTCATTTTAGAAGGGATTTTAGAAGGAGGTATGAGTAAGGATGAAGATGACTGTAATGAGGATAGAGAAGATTCCTTGACAATAGAGTTACCTGAGAGCTTTGTTAAAGGAGCTTCTTCTATCTCAGTACAAGCTTTGAGTGGAATTAATGCCTCTCACACCATTAGAGTGGTGGGTTACTACAAAAATCAAGCAGTTATTACTTTAGTAGACTCTGGATCAACTCACAATTTTATCAATGCTAAATTGGTCAAGAAGTTGGGATTAACAGTCACAGAATCTAACAATTTCAATGTATTGGTGGCTAGTGGAGAGCTAATTAAAGGGGCTGGGGTGTGTCAAGAAGTGTTGCTGGATTGCCAATGGTTAAAAATTCAAGTGAATTTGCTGGTTATGCCTATGGAAGGTACCCAAATTGTTTTAGGTGTAGATTGGATGAAAACTCTTGAGGATATCACTCTGAATTTTAAGAAGCTGCAGGTAACTTTTATGAGTGAAGGTGTGAGAAGAACCTTGCAGGGTGTAGTGTCAGAGGAGTTGCAATTGGTTAGTGGAAAAGCCATTGATAAATCTTTCAGAGAGCAAGAGGAAAGGTACTTGATTCAGTTATGTAGCGTGAATTTGCAGGAATCCACCACAAGGCATATCAATGAAGAACTGTCTGCTGACATGCACCAACTGATACAGGAATTTATAGTGGTATTTTAGGAATTACCTCATCTTCCTTCTTACAGGGATGTAGACCATAAAATTCCACTAGAAGAAGGGACTAAACCAGTTTGTATTAGACCTTATAGATATGCTCATTTTCTAAAAGAAGAGATTAAAAAACAGGTAGAAGAAATGCTTCAAAAAGGCATCATTAGGCCCATCAATAGTCCTTTTCCCTCTCCAGTGGTGATGATAAAAAACATGATGGTAGTTGGAGGATGTGCATAGATTACATGTCTCTCAACAAATCCACAATTAAAGACAAGTTCCCTATTCCTATCATAGATGAGTTGTTAGATGAATTGAATGAAACTCAATTTTTTACCAAGTTAGATTTGAAATCAGGTTACCATCAAATCAGGATGTATAAGCTGACATACCTAAGACTTCTTTCAAGACACACAATGGACATTTTGAGTTCATGGTTATGCCATTTGGCCTTACCAATGCTCCCTCAACTTTTCAGGCTCTCATGAACACTATTTTTAAGAAATTATTGAGGAAATCCGTGTTAGTTTTCTTTGATGATATTCTAGTGTATAGTAAGAAGTGGCAGGACCACCTGACACATCTAAGGCAAGTGTTCCAGATTATGGAAGACCATCAGTTAGTTGCCAAGATGTTTAAGTGTAGCTTTGGGCAAAAACAAGTAGAATACTTAGGACATATTGTGTCACAAGATGGGGTTAGTGTGGACCCTAATAAGATTACTGCTATTGTTGAGTGGCCATTGCCAAAGACACTGAAAAGTCTGAGAGGTTTCCTGGGCTTGGTAGGATATTACAGGAAGTTTATTAAAGGATTTGGAGTAATAGGTCAGCCCTTAATACAACTTTTGAAGAAGGGAGCTTTTACTTGGCATGCCTGTGCTGAGGAAGCCTTCAATGCATTAAAGATTGCACTGACCAATCCACCAGTCCTAGCTATGTCAGATTTCAACCTTACTTTTGTGCTAGAATGTGATGCCTCTGGTTTAGGTATTGGAGCTGTGTTGATGCAAAAGAAAAGACCTATAGCCTACTTCAGTTTTGCTCTCAAGGGAAGAAATGTCACACTTTCCACTTATGAGAAAGAACTATTGGCAATCATTCTATCTACAAAAATGTGGCAACAATATTTGTTAGGGAGAAATTTTGTGATTAGGACTGATCACAAAAGCATTAAATATATGCTTAAACAGAGAATTCACACAGGTATACAAAACAAATGGCTTGCCAAGTTACATGGATATGACTGCAGCGTGGAGTATAAACCTGGAAGGTTGAACAGGGTTGTAGATGGTCTATCCAGAATTCATGAAGAGGTGGGGGAGATACAAGACCAATTCATTGAAACATCAGCTATTTCTACCCTTAATAGTGAGTGGTTGGAAGAGATTAAGCACATGTGTCCTACAGATCACTTCTTTGCAGAACTTGATGCCAAGTTATCACAAGGGCAGTTAGAACTTGATACAAACTACAAGAAAGAGGGACTGTATTATTATAAGGGCAAACTTTTGATTAGTCCTAGTGCTCAGCATATTAAAACTTCTTTACTCAAAGAACACCATGATAGTCCTGTTGCAGGACATTCTGGAATCACTAGGACCTTGCATAGGTTAAGGAGAGTTTTCTATTGGAAAGGGATGAAAAGAGATGTTCAAACTTACGTGCAAGCTTGTGATACTTTCCAGAGGTCTAAAGGGGAGAATGTAGCATCCTCAGGACTCCTACAACCTTTGCCTATACCAGATTTCAATTGAGAGGATATATCCATGGATTTCATTACACATCTGTCTAAAAGTGGGAACAAGTTTGCCATTTTTATTGTTGTTGACATGTTATCAAAATATGCTTATTTTTTTTTTTGCACTTTCCTATCCATACACAGCTGAGTTAGTAGCTCAAGTGTTTTTTGAAGAAATATTCAGGTTATATGGTATGCCCAAATCAATTGTGAGTAATAGAGATCCACCGTTTACTAGCCTTTTTAGGAGTTGTTTAAATTGCAAGGAAGTCAACTAAAATTTAATTCAGCCTATCACCCTCAAACTAATGGGCAAACTGAAATCACTAACAAGAATTTAGAGAGCTATTTGAGGTGTTTTTGTTGCCACAAACCCAGAGAATGGAGTAAATGGCTAGCTCTTGCTGAATTCTGGTATAACACTACTTGGAAAAGCTCCACACACACTACTCCTTTTGAAGTGATATATGGTAGACATCCTCCCTCCTTAATTTCATATGTACCTTAAAGCTGTAAAGTTGAAGTAGTTGATGAAGTTATTTTCTCTAGAGACATAACTCTACAACTCTTGAAAGATAGTTTGAAGAGTGAAGCTGAACAAATGAAAAAGTTTGCTGATGCACACAGGAGCTATAGGAGCTTTGCTGTGGGTGATTGGGTATTTCTCAAGCTCCAACCTTATAGACAAATCAGTGTTTCCTCTTGCAAACCTCATAAACTATCTCCCAAATACTATGGACCCTATCAGGTTTTAGAGAAGATAGGAGAGGTTGCTTACAAACTTGCTCTTCCTGCACAAACTAAAATCCATCATGTCTTCCATGTTTCTCAGTTAAAGAAGAGAATGGGCATTGATGTAGCTCTTCAGGTTGATTTTCCTACCTATGTTACAGAGGTAATTGATGAGCCGGAAGGGATCTTAGACAGAAGATCTATTGTGAAAGGGAACCATATGATATCTCAGGTTCTCATTAAGTGGAAACATCGCACTTCACTGGATTCTACTTAGGAATCTTACTGGGATTTAGTTAAACGTTTTCCTGCCTTTGACCTTGAGACAAAGTCCAAATTAAGGGGAGAGAATTTTTCAGGAGCTGGAGCAAGAATTGAAGTTGATACCCAGGCTGAAAACAGGCGAAGACAACAGGTGAAGACCTAGGCTGGAAACAGGTGAAGCTGGGAACAGATACACAAAAACAAGGACTGATACACAAGAGAAATGTCAGAGGGAGGGGCTAATCTGCAAAGACTTTACTGCAGGAACGTATCTTGTAATAAAAGTTGAGTATTCATTTACAACAGTTAATTATGTTTCATTCTGTTATTTCTGTTTGTGCTGTGCACGTGCACCAAGTCTTGAACTGAGTTGTAGCTGAATTGTATAAAAGGAGAGGATGTAATAACCAATAGTTATGAATGAATATGAATCCTGCTCTTACTCTCTTGTTCAATTCTCTCAATTCTCTTAGTACTCTTCATTATCTTCCTTTCATTGAAACTGTTTCAAGCTGCCATGGCCAGAAACAGTAATACCAGGTTCAATAGAGGAACAAGGTCCTCTTAGAGATACTAGTAGTTAATATATTGAAGAATCAATCGTCAGAGAGACATAATTATAACTTAACCCTAGTAGACATCTCTCTGGAAAACAGAATGGTATATTTTCATAAAATGATTTATTGACAACCACTCTTTACTCGTGCAAATTATCTTTCTTGGTGGGTGTTGCACAGCTGTCACAAGCAATTTTAGGAATATTGGCCGGAAGATATTTACTGTTATAGGAATATTGGCTGGAAATATTTTGCTGTTATTGTTTTCTTTCTTTAGGAGATTGACATCTTTGTTATTTCCTTCTTAGTGCTACTTGCTTCTAGCATTTCTTCTATTATTTAAACCAAGACAGTTATTGCACAAAACAAGATGTAACAATAAAATTTTCAATCAATGAAACTTGGGAGGGAAGGGAGTTCTTGGGAGTCTGGTGTTCTTTTGCTCTGTATTATGTTTTTCTACATGGTATCAGAGCAGGAATTGTTTGGAGGTACTGATTGCTGATGGTCATACCGAAGGTGATCTAGATACCTCGTTCATTCCTATTTCTCTGGTATTCCGCTGCTTAACAAAGTGTTCACCTCCCTCCATTACCTAATCCGTTATTCAGATCTGTGTTGTCAGATTTTTTTTCTCCCTTTTTTTCTTCTTTTTTCACCCTTAGTTTGTGTTTTTTTACCATCTGAATCTATGGCTGCCGAAAACCAAAAAAATTCTACCAAATCTCTTACCAATTTTTTATTGAATGGTGACAACTATTTGCAATGGGCTCGAATTGTTAAATTGGCGCTTGGAGGCGAATCAAAACTTGAGCACATTCTTGGCAGAGTTAAGTCTGTAGATGAGACTTTAGAAACAGAAGGGAAGGATGTTGAATGGGCAGTCAATGATTTGCGGGTTATGTCATGGATCCTAAACTCCATGGAACCCAAAACCTATGGTATTTTTGCTTATGCAAACACTGCTAAAGAATTGTGAGACTCTATTTTTGAGATGTATGGAAACTCTAACAATTCTTCTAGAGTTTTTGAGTTGCAGCAAAGCATCTCATCCCTTAAACAAGATCAAGGTCAATCCTTCTTGGAACACTTTGGGGCATTCAAGCAGAAGTGGGAAGAGCTTCGTCAATACCGACCCATAGCTGCCACAGTAAAGGAGTACATCAAGCGAGAAGAGCAAGATCAAATTTTTTACCTGTTGGCTGGTCTCACAGCAGACTTTGAAGAAGTCAGAAGAGACATTCTGATGCGAGCTGATCTACCATCTCTCAATACAGTGTGTGCTATCATCCAAAGTGAAGAGACTCGCAAGAGAGTCATGGGAAACAAGGTAACAAATTCTTCTCAAACTTTAGAAAATTTTGCTCACCTTTCTTCTTCTAAGGTCACAGATAACCACAAATTGAGTAAAGGGAAGGATAAAAAAGTATCTCGTTTCTTCTGTGATCACTGTAACCGAAGTGGACATTCCAAGGACAGGTGCTTTGTGTTATACCCACATCTCAAGACTGCCCATGCTGCACGGAACAAAATCAGTGAAGCAAACCTGACCGCTCACGCAGAAACAGATGGTTTACAGTGCAAACTCAAAAATATCACCAAACAACTTGATTTTCTGATGAAAAAGTGTGGCACTGTTGGTGATTCGGCTCACGCTGGTCCGAGTGGGGAGTCTCATGTCGCTCAGCATACTGGTAAAGCTCTTGCTTGGTGATTCGGCTCACGCTGGTCCGAGTGGGGAGTCTCATGTCGCTCAGCATACTGGTAAAGCTCTTGCCGTTTCTAACTCTTACTCAAAAATTATTATCGATTCTGGAGCTACAGATAATATGTTTGCCTCTTGTGACTTGCTAACGAGGTTTCAACCAAAAAATGACTATTCTCATGTTACTGTTGCAAATGGTTTGACAATACCTACAAATGGTTCTGGAACAGCCCGTATATTTTCTAAAGACATTGATGTTACTATTGTACCTGATTTAAAAGCTAATCTGTTATCCATCAGCAAGTGTACTAATCAACTTGGTTGCAACGTTCTTTTTACTCCTCAGAAAGTACTCTTTCAGGACAGAATTTCAGGGAGAACGATTGGTGAAGGCCACCGGGTCGATGGATTGTATGTGATAAAACCGGAACAATTGACACTTGTTGCAACAAATGAAGCTTCTGCTCAACTTTGGCACAAAAGGCTGGGTCACCCTTCTGGTAGATTTTTACGATATTTAAAGTTATCTCCAATTTGCGATTTCAATAATTGTGAACCATGCCAATTGGCTAAATCTCATAGATTGCCTTATTCTGAGCATTCGAATAAATCCACTGAATTGTTTGACTTAGTTCATTCTGATGTATGGGGGAATGCACCTGTTGAATCCAAAGAAGGTTTTAAATACTTCGTTACCTTTATTGATGATAAATCTCATGCAACTTGGTTGTATTTACTCAAGTCTAAAAGGGAAGTATGTGCGACATTTCAAATTTTTTGCAAAATGGTTGAAAATCAATTCAACAAAAACATTAAAATTCTTAGAACAGATAACGGTACTGAATATGTAAATCATGAGTTTCAGACTTTTTTATGTAACAAGGGTATAATACACCAAACCTCCTGTGTCGGTACCCCTCAACAAAACGGTGTGTCTGAAAGAAAAAACCGACATCTGTTAGAAGTAACCCGAGCCTTAATGTTTTCAGCCCGCTTGCCTAAGTCCTATTGGGCAGATGCGGTACTCACAGGGTGTTATTTGATTAATCGACTTCCTAGTCGAATTCTTGGTTTTCAGAGTCCAATGGAAATCTTATACAACCGAAAAATTAATCTCTCACAGTTGCGTATCTTTGGTTGCGTCTGTTATGTGCATTCACAAAATGCAGGAAAATTAGATCCACGTGCACGAAGATGCATCTTTATGGGATATTCTTCAACACAAAAAGGATACAGGTGCTATGACCCCAGTTTAAATCGGGTCTTTGTCTCTAGAGATGTGACATTTAATGAAAATCAGATGTTTTTTGCGACAGAAAATCAGGGGGAGACTGATATCTACAAAGATTTTCAAGTTGCTGCAAATCCAGTAAATCTTGAAGTAGGGCCGAGTTATCTTGAAGTAGGGCCGAATTCAGTTGCAGACTCGCTGAATGATGTCAACGAAGACACTGTGGAGCATGATGAAGATGCTCCGCATGATGACTCTATACCGTTTGATGGATCAAGCCCCACCCTAGAAGAGGATTTTTCACCTGGGTCTGTGAATCCAAATACCAATTTTCCAGCTCATGAAGAAAGAGAGATTGGTACAGCCCCAGTCAGAAGGACAACACGCACAATTAAACCTCCAGCAAAGTTTCAAGACTTTGTGACATATCACACCACAACATATCCAATCCAAGATTATGTAAGGTATGATAAAGTGTCACCAAAATTTTGTTCATTTCTAGCTCAGATTGAGAAAATTTCTGAACCGAATAATTTTGAGGAAGCCAACTTGGATAATAATTGGGTTAATGCCATGAATAATGAACTTAGTGCCTTAAACCGAAATCATACATGGGAACTTGTCAAATTACCAAATGGAAAAAAGACCGTTGGGTGTCGATGGGTATACAAAATCAAGTACAAGAGTGATGGAATGATAGAACGGTATAAGGCAAGGTTAGTTGCAAAAGGTTATACCCAGACGTATGGCATAGACTACAAGGAGACTTTTGCTCCAGTAGCCAAGATGAATACTATTCGCACCCTCATGTCAGTTGCAACCAATTATGACTGGCCACTATTTCAAATGGATGTGAGAAACGCTTTTCTCCATGGGGATCTTGAAGAGGAAGTGTTCATGGACTTGCCACCAGGCCTACTTGTGTCAAGAGAAAGTGGATTGGTTTGCAAGTTAAAAAAGGCAATATACGGCTTGAAACAATCCCCAAGAGCGTGGTACGGAAAACTGAGTGCAGCCCTTGTCAAAACCGGCTTTAAAAGAAGTGAAGCAGATTCTTCAATGTTTACCAAGATCTCAAACAAAGGTATTGTTGTTATATTAATTTATGTGGATGACTTAGTCATTACAGGAAGCGATCAAGGCGGCATTGAAGATCTGAAGCGTCATCTTGGCAAGGAATTTGATATTAAAGACTTGGGAAATCTGAAGTACTTTCTAGGTATTGAGATTGCTCGCTCTCACAAAGGTTTGTTTCTTTCTCAAAGAAAATATGTTCTGGACTTGCTTCGAGAAACAGGAAAGCTAGGTGCAAAACCAACAAATATTCCCATGGACTTTAGTCAAAAGGTTACAACTGATAATGAACCCCTTAACGACATTGGCATGTTTCAAAGACTTGTGGGCAAGTTAATATACCTTACTATTACCAGACCTGACATATCATATGCGGTGAGCTATGTGAGCCAGTTTATGCAAAAACCTATGAAGGGTCATTTAGAAATGATTAATCAAATACTAAGGTATTTAAAATCTGCGCCATGAAGAGGCATTTTAATGAAAAATAATGGACATGCCAATATAGTGGGTTACACAGATGCTGACTGGGCTGGAAGTCCTCTTGACAGAAAATCTACCACAGGATTCTGCATGTTTGTAGGAGGAAATGCGGTTGTTTGGAAAAGTAAGAAACAAGCAGTGGTTGCAAGATCAAGTGCAGAAGCTGAGTATAGAGCCATGGCGGCAGCAGCAAGTGAAATCACATGGTTAAGGCTACTTCTTCATGAATTGGGGCACAGTTCGGATGACAAACCTACAATGCTATTTTGTGACAACAAAGCTGCAATACACATTGCGACTAATCCAGTATTTCATGAGAGGACTAAACATATTGAGGTAGATTGCCATTTTGTGAGAGAAATTTTTTTGAACAAAGTCATTGAAACTACATATATCCGAAGCTCTGATCAGATAGCTGACATCTTCACCAAACCGTTAACAAAAGGGATTTTCGAACCATTGAAGAACAAGTTGACCTCCGATAACCTCTTTGGATCAACTTGAGGGGGAGTGTTGCACAGCTGTCACAAGCAATTTTAGGAATATTGGCCGGAAGATATTTACTGTTATAGGAATATTGGCTGGAAATATTTTGCTGTTATTGTTTTCTTTCTTTAGGAGATTGACATCTTTGTTATTTCCTTCTTAGTGCTACTTGCTTCTAGCATTTCTTCTATTATTTAAACCAAGACAGTTATTGCACAAAACAAGATGTATTAGGAATATTGGCCGGAAGATATTTACTGTTATAGGAATATTGGCTGGAAATATTTTGCTGTTATTGTTTTCTTTCTTTAGGAGATTGACATCTTTGTTATTTCCTTCTTAGTGCTACTTGCTTCTAGCATTTCTTCTATTATTTAAACCAAGACAGTTATTGCACAAAACAAGATGTAACAATAAAATTTTCAATCAATGAAACTTGGGAGGGAAGGGAGTTCTTGGGAGTCTGGTGTTCTTTTGCTTTGTATTATGTTTTTCTACAGTGGGGAACTTAAAAAAAAGTGCAAGAAGATTATGTCCCTTTTTTATAAGCGCACAACTAATTGAAGGGTCTGAATAGAGTTTGGGATTACTCTAGTGCATACCAAACCTGTCATTAAATTGGAATAATAATCTTATCAAGCGAGGTAATCTAAATGATACTGTGAAGGTAAGAGTTCGAATATTTACATATATAATGTTGAAAATCCTGCTATTGAATTTAGTATGAAAAATTAAAAAAATTACCCAAAATTTGAGTAATTTTTAACTTCGAATAGAGGACATAAATCGATCAACTTGTTACACACACGACAATCAATCACTTTAAATATTTTAAAATGGGAGTTTCATAGTACGGAACAAGAATGTAGCAAGACTAAATTTATATCGGCTTTAATTCAGATTTTAAAGCATATGGATTCGATTCAGTTTAGGAAAAAAGGTAAAAATTTCTTAGACGTAATTTGATTTCAAGATAGATTTCTTTGACATTAGTTCTTAA